TTGTTTGTTTCTTTTTAGAGAGACTCAGATGTTAGATTTATCTTCAACTCTACGACGCTGAAAAGCTACTGATGGGAAAGACCACTACAGCAATCTCTTTGGCATTACATTTGGAAAAATTGCAAATGCAGAGCTAGATTATGCATCTTTTCTTTGCACATAAGTCAAGGGGACCACTGCTGTTAGACTAAGCTCTTTGGGCAGGGGCTATTTTTGTTCTATCTGTATGGCCCCTAGCACAATGGGGTCCTGGTCCACGACTGGGGCTCCTACGTGCTGCCACACTACAAATAAATACAAATAATTTTTAAGACAGCCCTGGCAAAAATAGGAAATCAAATCCCCTCCTTCCAACCAAATTCCTCACAGGAAGCAAATTCGTCAGCCACTGAAATACAGGTAATCTCTTTACAAATAGTCTGAGAGTCAGTTTCTCAACCAACAAAAATTTGCAAGCTGACAACAATCTTTTCAAGACATCTACAAACTCTTATGAAACTGAAAAATAAACTGTTGTGTAATAACCACAAATTTGACACTGAGTTTTGTCATACTGTTTTCACAAAAGCAAGTTCCGAGAGTTTCATCCAGCTCCTTTCTCCTATAAGCTCCTTCTCAAAGCCAACCAAGAAGCCTTAAAGGTTTTGCATATTCTCACTGAGAAGACCAGATAGATTCTGCTGAATTTAAAGGTAGTTATGAGAACTCTGGCCCATAAAGAAAATATTTTTTCACTTCAAGGTCCCAGAAGCAAAGACAAGGTTTTCATCTCGAGGCCAAAAGACCAAAAACATCAAGACATTTGATCACGGCCTTGGATAGACCAAGAGACTACCTACACTTGACCAGAGCTTGGAGAGCCGAGAAGCGATATAACACTATTACATCCTATTCTTTTTCGAGGCAGCCTGCCTCAATCTTAGGAGGGGGAGTCTTATTCCTGCAACTCAAAATCTGATCACATTTTAAAAAGAAACTTCTGTTTTATGCCTCACTAGTAATTTAGGAACAAGTATGTTCTATTGGAACTATACCTAATCAATTGATATTCTCTCACGGTAGGTAGCTTCCTAGAGACTTCATCATTTGGGGCCTGTCACTGGATGCACCACTCACTGCTGAGCTGGTGACTCCTCCTGGTCACTCTGGGGATTAGTTCTCAAGGCCAACGGCCCCATCTCATATGACTGACATCACATGGGAGCAGTACTGAGGTTTCTCAGTTGTCCTAACAACTTACTTTTTGTAGGGTCACTAACCACTATCTGACAGTTACATTTTTTGTCGGTGCCATCCAGTTCTGGATTCATATCACTGAACTAAAGCCAAAGGGTTTCATATCCCATTACCAATACCCAGAGCTCTTCAGTTACCCCACTTCTTCCATTTGGTGCTTATGTAAAATAGAAAGTGTGCTGACTCTTCATATAAACTCCACAAGCCCTTAGATTCTGCCATGATGGGTGAGCTGCCAGTATGACAGATTAGAGAGATACATTTCATATCTACGTAAAATGTCCTTGCGGGGGATGGATGAGTCAAAGAAACTGTTTCTAAATCAAACAGCCCTGAGTGATGACTGGATTTCTGACAGGGGCATAATTCAGTTTGCATGCAATGTTTCTGAAAAAGCAGCAGCAGGTGGAAGGCTAAACACAACTGGGGACATATTTCCATTCTGAATAAGTATGTTAAATGTGAAGCACATGCTGCTTTACCCTCCTATTTACCACGTATGTGAGATGGCTAGTTTCTTCAGATCAACCACCTTTCACTTTGTGTCAATGTAGATTTGGCAACTGGCATTATCTGGTGTATAACATAGTGCCCCAAACAACAATACTTTGCACTTGTGTATAGGACTATTCATCTAGTAATCTGACAGCAATTCAGAGCAGTGAGTAAGTATTATTCCCATTTTACAGATAAGCATACTTATCTGATATAGACAGGTATAGAGGGGCCAAATCCTTGGTCCCACTCTAGTTGCCTTGCACCACCTGAGTGACACACAACAACTGGAAACTCGGTGCATCTGGCCCCCTCATTATTCCCCCAGCATCAGGAATTCCCTAGGAATAACAGAGCCACCAGAGACACTTTATGCCATCCACCCTTGCAGCCAGAGGAGGAAGGCTGTGTGGACAGGTTACTTTTGCACGCCATAGACCCCTGGCTGCTGGAATGTCCCCTTCAGGCCACAGGCAAAGGCGTATAAATTAAAGCAACCTGGGTGTTGCTCTAAGTTACACTAGGGGTTGGCTGTACGGCTGGGGAGCAGCAAAAGGAGACTTTAAACCACCTTTGTTTTCCCTCCCCTCTCAGCTGCACTGCATGTATCTTGTCACAACTGAGGATCTAGCCCAAAGATGTAATTGGTTCTGCTGGGTGCTGGACACCTCTGACAATCAGGCCACTGATTTAAGTGCTCAAATATGGATTTAGGAGCCTAACTTTAGGCATTGAAGTCAGACAATCTTAGTCAATATGTCTAAAGTTATCCACTAAAAAACTGAGGTATCTAAAATTAAAGGCCATATTTTAAGAATGTGGCTATTAATCTCTGTGCCTCAGTATACCTACCTGTGAAATAGGAATAACACTTACCCACCTTTAACACATGCTTTGAGCTCTATGAAAAATATTTTATAGATTTAATAACAGGATATTTTATGTAAAAGGACATAGGTGACTGATTAAAAGGGTTCTGAAATAAATATTTACTGCTCCAAAATAGTCTATTCATATTATGAGCTATTAAAATGTTCTTTACTGTGACAAATGATAAAATTAACAATTCAACATTATGTTTTAAAACATATCATTTCACAGAATGTTTCAGAAGAATAATGGTTCTTGGAATATTGCATATATTATAGGTTTGTAAATAAGTAATAAACCTCGAATTGCCCTCATTTTGTCTTTTGTTCCTACTGTCATGCTATATATCATGGTGAACATGGGAGGGAATCTTTTTGGATTCATGGATTATCCACATGTTGTCTCACATTGTTAAAATATCACTAATTTTCTTAAGAGATGAGTTGTGAGGTGACAGGGAATGTTTGGTTGGATACATAGCATTATCATGGCAACGAAGGGTAGAGGCTTCCCGTATAGCTGGTATGCTTAATTAGTAAAAACCATTCTGGGGCTGGATTCTGATCTGGGTGGAATTGAGTTGCCTAGCTTCATGAGCTAGGGGCTGAACAGCTGGACTTCAGGGTAGAAAGTCTATTTGTCCTAATTTTAGAGTAATGAGTTAAATCACACATCGTGACTTTGATACAATATAAGGTAGATAACCACTAATGTCGAAAAAGTGACGTGTGATAAAATTTGAATATCAATATGTTATAATGCTGGTAACAGTGGTATTTATGATACTGATGGCATTCAAAAGGTTGATTCACATGAGGACTTTTTTCTGAACTTTTTGGTAAAGTGTTTCTTTGTTACATTTTTGGTAACAACTTTTGAAAGCCTTCTGCATCTTCTTGTACCCTCTCTATGCCTCCTAAAGGGTTAGCACATAATGAGAATTTATAAATACTACAAGACTCACGTTTTGATCTTGCTAAAGAAATCAAAGTATCCCAGCACAAAAGAACCCTCGGTTAACCTCCAATTTTCTTCCTGAATCCTACTACTGAACTACATGTTTTAGGCCTCCGGCAAATCATAATTATGCCAGAAGTTCTCAAAAAAGTCTTAAAAGATCTTTTTATAAAATAAATCCTTACAGGTTGAAAGTCCTTCATTTCTCTATTTACATTAAACAAATTATGTACTTCTAGATATCGTCAAGATATCTACTACCATGTCTGGTGCTTCAATAAATACATTTTTCTGAGTCAAATGGGCTTCTGGGAACATGTATGATGTTGCCCCTGCCCTGAGCATGCACCAGACATGGTAGTCAGGGGACTAACAGTGCTGAACTTCGGTTTGAGTTTGGCTTTAAATGCGTTTCAATGCATGCTGACTTCAGAACTGTACATTTATTTTTTCACAAAAATAATGCATTTGCTTTTGCTTCCATTCAGGTGCTGATTGCTGTGCTACATTATGGAGATTTTCTAAACCATTGAAATGAAGACCACCAGTTACATTTTTGCACTATTCCCTTAAATATTTGGGTGACACTTCAAATGATGGCAGCAGTGTGTGGACTGTGGTTTCTGCACGATAGTACATAGAAACTCTATTAACCTATTTTATATTACATAAAAAACAAACAAACATATTATGTCATAACTGGTACAATTCAATACTTTGCTTCAAAAGGTTAAATGGTGTCTAACAATCTACACTTGTCCTATTAAACTATGGTACATTTAGTTGCTGTACTAGATAAAGGATAGATGTGCGGACTCATATTTCTTACTCCAAATTTTTGCATGATGTGAACCACATTTTGATTGTCTTATGGACACCCTCTCCTCCCACTAAGACCATGTGATATTCCTGTAGCAACACAAGCTCTTGCTTATATGGAAAAGTAATATGGGGAGTAGTTAGTGTGTTCTCAGCTTCTTTTTTAGGCAATTTAGCATCAGGAAACAAGGAAGAGGAACCAGCACCTGTGATAAGCCAGCTCTCTGAAGACCACCAGCAAGTTCTCCACAGATCACAGTGAAAGACTTACTGGCTTAGTGGTCTGAGCACAGATCTAGGAGCCAAGAACTCCTGGGGGGCCCTATCAGTTGTTTGCATACTGCTTCCATCAATTTCAACAGGAGTTGCATACATGCAGCTGATGTCATGATGAGACACCTCTCCACCCTTTCAAGTACTGGTCCTGGCTCCCTTGGTGATGGGGAAGTCTGTACTTCCTGTACTTACATAAATCATTTCCAATGTCTGACATTGGTCCTGCCTGGAATAGGAAGGGGAGGAACTCAGCTTCTCACATTAGTTATCACTCAACCATGGTACCAAACTCACTCCCTTGAGGCAAATTTAACATGATGCCATTTTTAAGCATTAAGAAGCGATACCTTTAGTTCAGGCATGTTAATTATAAGCTGTATAGGTAGTTTAACATCTGGATCCTTGGTGTAGTCCATGGGCACAATGTTCGGTGCCATTTCATGGTATCGGCCGTGCAACCTGCAAACAAGCAAAAAAGCAACCCTTTAAGTAACTAATTCCATTCCATTCAGTAAACAGGCTCACATTGTTTTGCTGCTCTAGGCCCCATTTACTTTTATTAAAACAAGAGTCTTGCTGCTTGAGTCATAGCATTTACGGCCAGAAGGGATCAACTAGTCTGACCTCCTGTATATCACAGAGTACACCAACACCACCCAGCACACTAAATGCAACAATAGAAATGAGACCAATGGAAATGAGACCCACAGGAGACTAAACTATCATGTGCCATAGGCAGAGAATGGGAGGGACCAAAGTGAACCAGTGCTCAAGGCCCCTACAATGGCAGGGAATTGATTAAATGAGATATACCCAGATAATCCTGTCAAGTGACCTACTCCCACACACTGCAGTGAAAGGCAAAAAAACCCCAAGGTCATGACCAATGTGACCTGGGGGAAAATTCCTTCCTAACCCCACATATGGCGATCAGTTAGACCAGGGGTAGGCAACCTATGGCACGCGTGCCGAAGGCGGCAAGTGAGCTGATTTTCAGTGGCACTCACACTGCCTGGGTCCTGGCCACCGATCCGGGGGCCTCTGCATTTTAATTTAATTTTAAATGAAGCTTCTTAAACATTTTAAAAACCTTATTTACTTTACATACAACAATAGTTTAGTTATAAATTAAAGACTTATAGAAAGAGACCTTCTAAAAACGTTAACATGTATGACTGGCACGCAAAACCTTAAATTAGAGTGAATAAATGAAGACTCGGCACACCACTTCTGAAAGGTTGCCGACCCCTGAGTTAGACCTTGAGCATGTGAGCAAGAACTAGCCAACCAAGCACCTGATAGAGAGAAAGCTTGATGCCACCGCAGAGCCCTAGCCTGCGTCAGAGGAAGGAGATAAAAAAACCTCCCAGAATACACTGAGGGGGGAGGGTGAATCCTTTCCTAATTCCTGCCAGTGGCTGGCTCAAGCCGTGAAGCATGAGCTTTAGAAACATAGGATACAAACCAAAAGTGAGCCCCATGGCTGTTGAGCCCTGCCAGCACCATCACAAGCAACCCGTCATACAGTTGCACTCAAATTTGTCCAGCTCTCTCTCAAAACTAAGTTGTTTGACCCACAACTCCTGTGAAAAGGCTGTTCCAGAACCTCACTCCTATGATGGTTAGAAATATTCTTCTAATTTCCAGCCTGAATATGTTCATGGCCTCTGACACTTCCAACTGATGAGCCCTCAGAAATTGTAGCAGAAATTCTTATTATTAGACCCTAAATGGATGACCTTGCACTTTGTACTACTGAATTTCCACCCATTGCTGTCAGTCCAGTCTTCAAGTTCATCCAAATCTTCCTGTATAATACTCCAATCCACCTCTGTATGGACGACGCCTCCCAACGTTGCATCAGCAGCAAATTTCATTAGCACACTCCTACTTCTTCAGCCAAGGTCATTAATAAAAATACTGAATAAGATTGTTCCCAAGACTGATCCTTAAGGAATTCTACTTGTAATCTCTCTCCCATACAATAATTTACCTTTCAGCACAACCTGTTTTCTTCTCTTTAGCCAATTCCTTATCCACCTTACAGTGTTTGTACTGACCGCACCTTCCCTAATTGAATTACATTAATTAAATTGAATTAAAACTGCGTCGAATGCTTTACTGAAGTCCAAATATATTAGATCTACTGACCTTCCCTTATCAGAAAAATCATTTATTTTCTCAAAGAGGGAAATCAGATTAGTCTGGCTTTATCTAACTTTGGTAAACCAGTATTGCAATACATCCCCTTTATCGTTTAGATCTATGAATTTAATTATTTTTGCTTTCATAATTTTCTCTAAACCTTTGCATACTACTGAGAAAAAAAGAGAGCTTGATCCAGTACCTAACATGCAAACAGCAAGTAATGTCCATTAGACCCCTATCAGGGTGCAAAGCAGGAGTGGCATTCATAGGTGTCAGTATACAATAAGCTAGGTATGGAACTGGTGAGTCCGTGGGTGGGTCAGACCCAGTCTATATAATATGTCCACACAGCAAATGTGGCCCAGGGCCATTCATTAGCTGTATTTGCTGTGCAGCTACGCAAGAACAGGATCAGCTAGGGTATGTCTATGCAATTGATATGCAGTGATGCAAGAACAGGGTCATCTGGAATATGTCTAGATTGCTTCTGGGAGCGAGACTCCCAGCCCAGCTCCACAGACTTATGATAGCAGGGCTCACGCTAGCACACTAAAAATAGCTGTGTAGATGTTGTAGCTAGGGGCTGGAGCTTGGGCTGTCAAGCCTGAGGCAGGGGTGTTCCAGCCTGAGCTGCAACACCAAAGCAATGTCTACACAGCTATTGTTAGCATCCTAGTGCGAGACCCCCTAACACTAGTCTGTAGATCCAGGCTGGGAGGCTTGCCCCGGGTGTAGCATAGACATACCCCTCGAGGGCCAATGACCTGGGCAAAAAGGTGTTCAAAAGACAAAGGATACATGACTGTGCTCGTGGTCACCCCAGTGGACAATAGCATCCTTGGTTGGGCCATGGATACATAAACCAAGCCCCCTTTTCTACCTGCACACCCTTCACTGAGGAGATTTTGACCCATTAGTGTAGCAATGAATTATACCAGTCTGCAAAGGATACGTCTATCTCACGCACTCCACATGACTATTTTGCCCACCACTGCCACAGCTGATCAATCAAACTAGTGTGTTGAAATGCGATAGTCTGCTACTAGGTTTTTCCCCATAGAGAAGCAAACCAGGAGCTTCCTAAACCCAATTTCACTCTATAAACACAGCCTATGATGCCAATAATAACAAAATGAAATAAAATAAATAAATAAAAATAATACTAAAATAATAAAATAAAATAATAATGATACATAATCATGTCGTTTAGAGAAGGAACTGGGAGCGGGGGAGGCAGAGGCTTTTTGTATTCACTAAATCCTTAGGTACTGATGTAAGTTTAGATCTTTCATTAAAGCATTACAGCAAATTCCGAACACTGATATGGAGATGCCGTGGCAGTGCTATGGCTCAGTTCTTCACTCAGAGCTGTCCCCACATGAGTTGGGCAAAACTGCACAAATATTGGTTCTAAATGAAGTCGCTTCCAATGTGCTTGCACCCCAACTGTGTCCTTTCATGGCAAATATTCCAGTGAATGAGTTTATGGGTGGCAGCATTTGCAGAAACAGCCAGTTTTAAAGAAAACATTGAAGAACATTAGCAGGAAACAAACTTTTGAATTTGCAAACATGAGTCTTTGCTTCAGTAAACTGATTCTAACAGAACCATCCCATGTGAACAGTGGCCCAGATCCACAAAGGTATTTAAGCTCCTAACTTCCACTGATTTCAAGGAGCCTAAATACCTTGTGTCCAATCAAATCTAACTGAGCTCAGATTCTGGGCATTATATATTCACAATGAACTGCTCTCAAACAACCTGCAGACCAAACATTATTTGCAAAAATTGTCTGGTGACTAATTTTAAAGAATACCACATCTAAGAAAAAATCATTAGCTCTCTGCGGACAATTCACACATAGAATTTCACCTCTTTCCCTAACACACTATTTGCTATAAATTGTTCGCTCAGTGATAATGGCTGCCCTGACAATCTGTGTGTCAGAGATCCAGTCACAAGACAGAAAGCAAAAAAGAAGCAAATACCGGAGAAGGCACTTGTCAGTATCCAGCTGCGATAGTTCAGAGGAGCCCTCGTCTCACACCACTGCTGCACCTTATTATTTGTATTGCAGTAGTACCGAGGGGCCCCACTCTGGGATCAGGCTCCCCTATACTAGGTGCTGTACACATAGTGCCTGTCCCAAAGAGCTTACAGATTAATGAAGATGAGAGACAACAGGTGGATACAAACACACACAGGGGAACAAAGAGTCACTTATAATTAGTGTAATAAGCAGTGGGCACAGTGCACCACCTGCCTTAATCATTGCCAGCAGCATGCCATAAATGGGTTTTAAGGACAGGTTTAGAGGAGGATAACATAGTCGCTTTGCCACTGACATTGATTTGCTATATGTTCTAGTGAGATAAAGGAAACTTAACCTTGGGCTGTACTGGAAAATACAGCAAGGTTTCTCAGTAGTTGCTGTTACTGAGAGCATGTATTCACTTAACAATGCCAAAGGCTCTTTACTGTTGACCTACCGTCTGATCCTGCACACCCTCACTCACAGCCTCAGACTGGATGATCACAATGGTCCCTTCTGGCCTTGGAATCTATGAATAGGTAGCTCCACTAAGTTTAATGGCATTACACACCTGAGTAAGGACTAGTCCCATGGGAAGATAAGGACAATTTTCATTCTCTTTGCAGGATTTGGCCCCTAGTTTGGATCAGTATCAATGATCTACAAGTGAAAGATTGCATTACAGTACCAATTCCCTATGCCATCTAGTCGAGTGCCCCTTGAAATGATTTTATACAGCTATTTGTGCCTAAATATTTTATATCACCTAGCTATACAGCAAGAAATATCTGAAGGGTCTCATAAAGGCTGATCTGCATCAGCATTATAATTTGTCAGCTGTTTCTCTGCAATTCTCCTCAGCTGCAGTCAGTGCATTTCACAGAGAAGCTGTGTCAAGCTGGGATGTGCTCTTTAGTGTCATATGTAGGCCAGACTGTTTTACAAAGGTTTCCAAGAGCAAAATGTTAAGAGAAGTTAATGTCCCCACAGCTATCAAACACAGTTAACCACTTCTAGATCCCTTAAAAAGCTCATTTATGCTTCCAAGATTCCATGTGTAACGTTTTGGCTAAAGTAACTTTTTATGCATTTAGTAGAAAAATGAAAGTCATATTTTTCCTTTACAGGTTCAATTTATTGGAAGGTTTCTATAGGATGTTCTTAGTACTATACGACAGTATGATATAGCCTATCTAGGTACATTTACAGATGTAATTTCATCAAGGGAATCTAGGCACATTATATACAAAGCATTTATAAACCACTGCCTGATTAGCTT